CCCCCCCCCAACTTAGATTCCCCCCACTTGCTTCAATAAAAAAAAATCACGAAAAATACGTATTTTTGGGCCTGCTACCTTAATACAATATTACTCCTCTCACAGGAACTTGATGTTTGTAAACAATATTGCTTGCTCTGCTTTTGCAGAAATAATTTTACACTAAGCTGCGGACAGACAGACAAACTACAATATTGTTCGATCCCTTCCAGGATCATTACTCCTGTTCAAATAACTTGTGTGTTGTTTAAGGCAGTTGACATTTTCTATTTAAAGATTGGGAACTACAAGGCATTCTGTAGGTGAACAGTATTAAATTTTGGTTGAATAGACTAAGTTCCCAAATTTTAATATTTCTCAAGTTTCAAAATTTGAGTTGTAACTAGTGATTTGGATTCCTCTTGCAAAATTAAAAAGGAAATGTCTTATGCTCAGAGTTGATCAGAGGCGATACGGCAAAGTTATTGGTCCCCAAACTAACGACAAGTGCCCATCTCTCTTCACGTATGTTAAACCGTTCCACATGTCACTTTGCTTACTTCTCAACGGAAACTCTTGAAACTGCACATGATGAGTTCGTCTTGTCAGCCGCAAGATACCTCCTTCTTGACGCGAAACATTTCCCAGGGGATGCCCTAGAAATAGCATTGTATCTCCCAGGGCTGCCCTGGGTTCTGGGAGCGCTTCCCTGGGTTCTGGAAGCGACCGACCAAATCCCATGATACCTTCTGGGAAAATGAGACATTTCCAGGAGATCTCCTGGGACTCTTCCAACTGCCCTGGGAAAGACCTAAAACTCCTGGGATTCGCAGGCCTTGTTTTTACCGTGCGGGGCTATTGATAAGGTTGCATCTTACACTCAATATCTTGAACACGAAAATCAGAATGAAATCTGGAACTATAAATTGGGGTTCAGCCAGATCTGACACTTTAAGTTTCCTAAACTTTCCATTTGGTTTTCTTTATAAGAGAAGACATTTGGTGATAAAGCCCGTACTCTTTATGGGCCCTAACGCGCAGCCAACAGTGGGGTACTGCAATGTGTTCAGTCCAAGCTTGTGAGCTCTCAAGGTAATAGACAAGCGCGAAGCGCTATGTCAGTGGTTGAGGGAGACAGTAAGCGCAGCGGCAAACAAAACGGCCAAGTAGGCTATCGGTTGGCGCGCCGAGGAGCTGTTCCAGGCGACGTAGGGCACCTTGCGATCCGTCATGAGCTGGATGTAAAAGGCCGACGATTCTTTCAGCACACGTGTCCTGTCTGGAGTCGTGTAGTCGATGTAGACCAGCCCCATCATTCGCCTGCATATTACAAGACGATGTCGAAATTTCAAAAGGGTGAGCTATTACACATTGTTAACAAGCAATAAACGTCGCTGGCAAAGAGACGGGGTATTGTACTTATTTCCTAACTTTACTTGTCACTTGACCCACTTACTTTGAGCCCCATTCGAAACCGTCCAGCAAACTCCATATTGTCACCCCCAAAACGTTGCAATTGTCATCTCGAATCGCTTTAACTGCCTCACGAAGGTACGCCTGGTGTAAAGATAAAAACAGCAATGGTCATCATGAGTGCTTCAAAACATCGATCTAACCGTTCAACGCAATCTAATGGCACGTACGCTGTGGTATGCTGCCCGGTTGTGGTCGTGGACACCCTCTCCGTTCTGAGTTGCCAGGCCGTTTTCCGTGATGAAGACGCCCATGTTGTTGTAGCGGTCTCTGAGCCACAGCAGGCAGCTTCGGAACGACTGCGGTGTGCTCTGCAAAAGTCGTTAAGTGTGAAGCCGTGACGCGTCGCCCAGCTGAAGCCACGAGAGTGCCGGACACTTACCGTACTGAAGGCCCCGCTGAAGTCTAATGGGGAGTCCAGCACGACTTGCATGTCCCTTTGTGGGGATGGGTTACGTGACCTCCCGTCTAGACCGGCGTGGACCGTCTTGCCGAAGTAGGCGTTGATGCCGAGGAAGTCGGTTGAGCCTGCGAAAGACGCGACGTTCTATTAGAAACATTTACATCACAGCCTTTCCTGGAAGCGTGAGTGGAGCTCGAGGAGTCTTCTACGATTGCAGCGCGTCTTCGGAGTGTCCGCTCCGCATCATTATCGAGTCGAATGTCGGACGAGATAGGCTGCGTGTGCGTGACAAGGTGACAAGGCAGCTTTCAAGGCGATGGCCTCGCCAGCGTGCTCCTTGACACCTATATGTATGTATTTGTAATAGTTTATAAAAGTTTATGCAAGTGCATTCGCCGAATATCGTTTAATCCCTCAACATTTTTATAAAATTATGTCCCTGATTTATTTTTTTAATAAGCCAAGAACTCATCGTTTCCTTCCTATAGTATATGGTTTTATTAAGGTCTTAACGAATACTAAATTTTTGCGGCAATCTTTTAGCTGTTGCAGAGCGGGGTCGGAAAATTTGATAAAAATTCCCTAGAGTAGAGCTTGGCTTCGCTCAGCTTCGAATATCATTATCATGTACGGTCGTCTTTTCTTAGCAAAGTAAAGAGTTGTTGTTCGGAGGATGTCCGGTGTCAGGATGTCCGCATGTCCGCATATTCTAACGCGCTCTAACTCCTACACTGTCATCGAGCGTTTTCCCCCCTTTACTTCAAGATTGCAATGGATGAGCGGGTCTTGCTGTACAGACGATATTTGTTGAAATAACTCTGCCGTGAAGCGAGAGAATGGGGTAAGTCGACTTAGCGACATGACCTTTTCATCGTCTGTGACTGCCGTTTGCTTTTCAGTTCCTGAAGTCATCCTGAGAAGTTAACTTCTTCTGAAAACTAGCTTCCCAAGGTCATTTTCGGAACTTCCGATGTACTGGACGGCAGTAGTGACAGACAATTCGCTCGTCCCTAACTCAAAGCACGCACGGCACAGCGCCTCTAGAGAAACCAAGTATCGTTGCGCGGCGCTCGAGAAACCAAGTATCGTTGCGCGACTCTAGTGAAACCACGTATCTCCACTTTTTGCTGATTTTTGAAACCTATACCATTCGATAGAGAAAATTTCCCTCCATTCAAATATATAGTTCCTAAAAAATCGTCAAAAAATGCGTTACGTGGTTTCACTAGAGTCGCGCAACGATACTTGGTTTCTCGAGCGTCGCGCAAAGATACTTGGTTTCTCTAGAGGCGCTGCGCCGTGCGTGCTTTGAGTTAGGGACGAGCGAATTAAAAGGCCATGGTGCTAAGTGGACTTGCCACCTTCTTCCGCTTCACGGCAGAACTCTTCATGAATGCGAAAAATGTAAATTTACAATTTTCCTGACATGTTTTCATTAGAAAGTTTTATCTTTTTAAACGTTTCTAGGAATCGTTGCGTGCTTGATTGTAATCGGACTCCGGAATCCACGCCCGAACGGGTCCCACTCTGAGCGCGTGCCGTGCGCAGTAGGTGTGCGAGAAAGACGGAGCGAGAAACCCGAGGTAGCGATGGCGATGTACCGAACCTCGGCGAATGCACCCAAACAAACGGGACCCGTTTGAGTGGCCGAGTCTCGCCCGACGGTCACCTGAGGGCGTGGCATGGCGTGGCGCTGGACCGACTTTGCCTACGCGCCACGCCAAGCCACGCCTGGCCTGCAGACGGGACTCGTTGAGACGGCGAGTGGGAGCGAGTGGGACTGACCGAGAGCGAGTGGGCAACTGCGGGTCGGGGGTCGGGCGTCCGAGCCGAGCGAGTGAGAACGAGTGAGGTTCGGGCGTGGATTCCGGACTCTGATTGTAATCGTTTCCTTTTTCAATTAGATCAAGGGAGACGCGTCCTGGCCAAGGTCGACGGTATAATCCAAGGTAAGAGAAAATCGGATTTACTAAATCCGATGACTAAGCCTCCCACCTTTTAGTAGTTTCTTCTCTTCCTCAGTAAAGTTGGGCAGCCTCGATTCGGTGCGCCCCTCTGCGAGGCTGGCGGCTTTGACGTACTTTTTGACCACTTCCGGATAGTCTCCGTATATGATTGGGTCGAACTGGATACCAAGCTCGAACAAGTTGTAGCGCTCCGCAGCCGCAATGTTCTCATACTTGTTGTCCAGCGGTGACGCGAAGAATGTCTCAGCTGTCAGGCCGATTACAGCTGCAAGAAAAATGCTATTTACCTCGTGTGTTGATATTAGCTCATCCTTCTGCTGTCAAACACGGGCTTGTGCAAATCTGGTTAGACCTGGTGTCTGTTGGTGTCGGTCTGTTCCACATGAAGAAGATGGGCTACGGGTTTCAACGTTCCGACCCTGACAAAAACGAGACAAGACCGAAGCGCATACGTGACATCCTGGCAACTACACCCCTTAAAGAAGGTGCAAGGCGATAACAATGAAAACAAGCAGCACCCCCCCCCCCCCTTTAACGCCAAACGGAGTATTGTAATGATGTGGCACCACGACTGCATCGAGCTTTCCCACTTTAAAGGCCGTTAAACTAGCCCTAATAGAAAAAAGACATCTCGTAGATGGCGAAAAGACGTCTAAGGATAGATGCCTAGACTTCTAATGACCATCTACTACAGACGTCTAATAGATGTCGAAAATAGCCTCGAAAATAAGATCTTTTAGACGAAAAAGTATAGACATGAAATAGAAGTATGCAGTTAGATGTCTTGTGGACGTGGAATTCCATGATTTGATTCGTTCAATTTTATTGCGTTAGGTGTGAAACGTAGGCCCAACTGGAACCTTACACACAGTACAAAAATTAAATGGTTCTCTGAGTTGTTAAGAGACCATACTAAAAGCCGGAAAGGCGCTGAGGGTCGATGTGCCCGTAATGTGAGTGGTCAGCGAGAACGGGTTTTAACGTATAACAAAATTGTGAATTTTATCTTTCATTTCAAATAAAACGTGCAGGCACATTAATAAAATAACGCTCTGCCCGAATATCAACAAGTCGAAACGGAATATTAAGAATATAAAGAAATATTTGGCACTAAGACGAAAAACAGCCCTTGTCCAAAAGATGCGCCATCTGGCGGAAATTCGAGAAAGTATGCTTATCTAAAAGCATTGATGGCATAGACGAGAAGTAAAGCATACCTTGACGTTTACACGTCATAACGTTAAGACTTCTCAGTTCATAGATGCTTGCACTGTATGTAGAACGGCTATCGGAGTTAACGCATCACCTACCACAAGCCGTCTAAGCGTTTAGATGGCTTGGACATGCCGTAGAGTGACTTGTGACGTCCAGCCCTCATCTACAGCAGGACATCCAAATGTATAGATTGCTTAGATAGTAAGTAGAGCGTCTTTCAGCGTCTGTACCCTATCTACAGAAAGAAATCTAAACCCATAGATAGGATGTAGAGCATCTCCCGGTGTCTACACCCCATCTACAGTTAGACAAGATGGCAGAAGACGTATAATCGACATCTTTTAAACATCTATGTGTAGACGTCTGCACAGTTAGACCTGCTAGATGGGCATTAGACCATCTATCGCCATGTACAGATGTCTATTTTCTATAAGGGAGGCACAGTGCACATAACGTTAGATTAAAACCCTAAGATGTAGTTCAAATTTCTGCAGCCCTCTTAAGCTGTGAAATTGAACAACTTGTTTTACTGTCGAACCTCGTAATTATTTTGTTTCACAGTCTGTCGTCATGCGCTTTAGTCTCGCATTTGAATTTGCCGCAGTTCGTATTTGTGTTCTGTGTGTTTACTTGCACAGCATAATAGATTAGAGGGGTATGAAAGTTTATACTCACTGCCGGGGCGAGCTTTGGCGGCATACTCGTTCTTGAACATGTGGTACAGCCTCGAGTGCGCCACTAGCTCGTGGTAGATGCACTGGTACTCGCCTAAGCCAGCACTCGGTTTGGCAGGGGGCACGCTGGCTACGTTGTACACCACGTAGCAGTGCATATGTGGCTCGTTCAGCGTCACCCAGTACTTGACCCGGTTAGCAAAAGCGTCGAAAGCAACACGTCCAAACTGTTCCATCTTTTCGATCATAGAGTAGTTGGTCCAGCCGCCGATCGTGTCCTCAAGCACTTGGGGATGGTCGAAGTGGTACAGCGTGATCTGTGAGCGAGTGCCAGCTTTACGACGACGCTGTTTCAGTACACGACTCGTTCACCAAGTGACAGGTGGCGTTACTTACGAAGGGCTCGATCTCATTGGCGAGCAGCTCACTGATAAGGTTGTTATAGTACTCGATGCCTTCCTTGTTGACATTTTTCGGGTCGCCATCCGGTAGGATGCGAGACCACGACAGGGAAAACCGATACATTTGCATCTATACAGTAAAAAAAACACTAAGCTGCCCAGATTTCTCACACTTTCAACATTCTCCGAAGGAGAGCACTGCATTGAATTACGAACCAGTCAGGAACAGTTGCTTTTGTTCACCCTAATGTGCCCCAAACACACGAAAAAGAATATAGGTTGTATGATTTTGGTATTGTTTACATTTAAGAAAGTCTTTGTGCACGTTTGGGTTTGCGTTATTCCGAGGGGTCGCCGACTCGTATAATACTGGGTACACGGACCTTATAGTACCGTATAATACCTATAATATTT